ATCTAACATCACAAGGGGTGACGAAAACACTCTACCTGCATAGCCTGTTTGATATCAAAATCATGTTACATGTTGAGTTTTTATTTGTGGCTTCATCCCGTACGTGAACTGGAACGTGAACGTGAACGTGAACGTGAACGTGAACAATCTAGGCCCACTCAGACTCAACAGACTCTAATTTGGGGCTCTGATTTACTAGTAGATTAACAAGGAAGCCTGTGAGTTTTATCAAAGAAGATGCTAATGGTTTCGTTATTCAGCCTGTGAGTTTTATCAAAGAAGATGCTAATGGTTTCGTTATTCAGTCGTGGGAGACTAAATTTATTTTCTTAACTAACCCCGTGTATGGACAGTAATTGTAGCCTAGGCCTGTATTTTATTCAAGCCATTTGGCAAGATTCTTCGGACTAAAACCAATACACAAATGTCCATCCATACATTAATAGAAATTTTATATGGCATTTAAAAACTTTAACAAAGTTATAGATATCCTTCCTAAATCATTTCAACAAAGCATCCAAGTAGATGGCATACAAAAAAAATTATATTTGTACTATTTTGACACTTATTTTTTTGGATAGCAACCATGACATAATGGTCGCGTGATGTTATTTACAGGTAATTGTGTGCTACTTTCGGAAATCATCCTTTATTTGTATATATTGATAATCAAATTGAAAAATATTTTTTCGGAAGGCTAATGTACCAAATTGTGCACCTAACTTCAATGTACACATAGGCAGCTTCTAGATTACGTGTATATTTTAAAATTTCATAAATTTTAGCGCAGGAAGAGACCTATCACTTTAAAGATACGCATACACTGGGAATATAGTTCGTCGTTTATTTATTTGTATCAACAGATTCTTTACTGTTGATTTTTATTTCTATTCTTTGGTTTCATTCATCATATTAAATAAAAAAAATTATAGAAATTGTCTATTTTGAGAATTGCGTACTTTTACATGTGAAACGGACACGAAGGGTGATGGAGGTTGAACCGAGTGTGCACTAAATAACATTGTTTTGTAATGTTTATCTTCGATTTACAAAATCAACAACTATTATCATCGGAATCTACTGACATCGAATGAACAATAACACACATTTTCAGGTAAATTGGTTGATTTACAAACTTGCGTTTGTGTTATATCTGCATTTCGAAGTAGGTTTGTTTAGTTAGTGAATCCGCCATTTTGTTTACAGCGTTATGCATGGATGATAAACATGTTGAATTGTGCCTCTATCTCAATGTATTTTGATAAAATAAGACTCGACTGTTGCAGTGGGATTATATGAGATTATGTGGAAGTAAGTTTGAAAGTTGTCAGTTATGTCATTATCGATATCTATGGGAGTTAGTAGTTTAAAATTTTGTTATATTTTGACTGAGAAAATTTGGGGTCATCAAGTGCACATTGAAATTTAAAGGAATTGCTTCCTATAATTTTGATCTAAATGTTATTCTGCTCATTTTGGAAATTTGTATCCATGGACCCCATGTCATGCTTAGAAATAAATTTTGTTAAAATTTTCAACAGATTTCAAAATGGCTGAGGTTTACCTTGCCCTTAATAGTAAATGTGCTTGTATTTGTGGGGAACTTACAAAAAAATTATAAACTAGTCTTTTCTTTATAATATACAGGCTTGAAAGTTACGACCGAAATCATAATTTTCTAGGAACAGTTTTCAGTTTACCACAGCAGGATGGTTTAATGTGGCCAACCATTGGATTTTCAGAGAAAATCTTCCTAAAATCACCATAGAGAAAATAGAAGTTTATTTACTGTATAGAATGGCAAGTATGTAAGTTACAAATTTTACTACTGGCATTTTTACATTCGATACGGTATATAGTTTTGTATGTTCTTCTTAAAATTTTGTTATATTTTGACTGAGAAAATTTGGGGTCATCAAGTGCACATTGAAATTTAAAGGAATTGCTTCCTATAATTTTGATCTAAATGTTATTCTGCTCATTTTGGAAATTTGTATCCATGGACCCCATGTCATGCTTAGAAATAAATTTTGTTAAAATTTTCAACAGATTTCAAAATGGCTGAGGTTTACCTTGCCCTTAATAGTAAATGTGCTTGTATTTGTGGGGAACTTACAAAAAAATTATAAACTAGTCTTTTCTTTATAATATACAGGCTTGAAAGTTACGACCGAAATCATAATTTTCTAGGAACAGTTTTCAGTTTACCACAGCAGGATGGTTTAATGTGGCCAACCATTGGATTTTCAGAGAAAATCTTCCTAAAATCACCATAGAGAAAATAGAAGTTTATTTACTGTATAGAATGGCAAGTATGTAAGTTACAAATTTTACTACTGGCATTTTTACATTCGATACGGTATATAGTTTTGTATGTTCTTCTTAATTCGGTCAAATATCAAGCTCTGTCTAAGCTCAGAAATAAAATTCATAGGATTTATCATGGCATATCAGTTATTTGATTGTTGAGGCCATCATATTCCCTATTTAGAGATCAGTCTTGCCTCAGCTTATTCCTATCTGTTTTCCAATGCCTCTTTGTTTCCTTTACAGCTGACAGAGAGATCTGTAGGGATATCAAATCTTTAGAAAAGGGGAGAGGGTTGTTAGAGGGAGGAAAAGTGCTGGCTTGCTCTGTTTTGACAGAAAGTGTATTTTTTAGTGGAATTGTGGGAGCAGCTATGAAGAAAAAGGTTTCTATATGTTGCACCATAGAACTATTGTATTTTGGTATAGGAATGAAGAAATCTTGTCATTATAGCATAGATATTTATGATAAGATTTGCTTAGCAAGTAAAATTTTCAATAAAGTATTTTCTTAGGATATCAACTTTATGTATAGCAGTAGATGAAGTTAAGATTTTGTTCAGTTTATCACACCTTTATCAACTCTATATTGGTTATTAACAAAATTGTGTTTGAGATATAGATGTTTCTGTACTTTTGAAATTTGCAGGTTGTATACAACTTTAAGTTAAAAGTCAAATTAAATGGAGAACCTGAGAAGTGCGAGTATCCCTCTGGTAGAGGACCCCATAGTACCTGTAAACATGACTGTCTCTGCTGTTTTACTAATGATAGAAGAATTTGTTCGTATGGGAAATATTATAATTAAAAAAACGTGTACAGAAAGTCTGCAGAAATTTCACAAGCCTAAGTATTCATATGAAGGTATGTCCTTTTGTGCAGGAAAATTTTACTAACTTCAAAGGGGCATTCCACTTTTTCGTCCAGAATTCAATCTTAATATTAAGCGTTTTTCAATAGTTAATTGCATAATTATGGATAATTACTAAGTTTTTTGGATTTATTGGATTATATAAGGATCCTGTTATGTTATTTATGACACAGGGTGTATTTACTAATGAATATATGCTCTTATTGGTCAAGTTTAAAATTCTTAAATTTTATGTTCATTCTAAGGCATAGTATTCCTTAAAAGAAATACAAAATGAATCGACAGACACATATTTCACTTCCTCTGAAGATATTCTACAAGACATCAATTCACATTATTTCAAAACATACCATCAGTCTTGACAGATCGCAGCGCAACCAAACATAAGACAAATAAATTAATTAACAATGAAACCTCTTCTTTCATCTATCCATTTAAATGTACAATACATTCATTACTTCAGTTTTCAGACATGGGGGCATTTACCTTTAATTAATCAACTATCTAACTATATGTACATAACATCCAAATTGATTGCTTTAAAAAAGAATTCAGCTTTTCATTAATTAACCAACATTATAACCAAGCTTTATCAGCCATCAAACTTGATCAAGGAAAGGATCATAGCTAAACTAGACAATCATATCACCAGAGCACCAAACATGAATACATCGACCATAGAATCACACATCACATTTCAAAATAATCAAACATCCTCATGGCTACAATCATTATCACCTCTATCTCAAATCTCAACACATAATTTCTACAGCTCGCCGTCAAATTCCACCATACATCAAAAATATAAAAGAAGAAAAAAAATTACAATAGACTGTCAAAAATTAATCCAGGAAAAACAATAGGCCATTATTGCTATACTGTCTGTCAACGGCTCAAGTTTATTCAGCAAAGGAATATCCTTTTCAACATTTCTTGATGGAGGCTCTGAATTACATTAAGTATGTTCAACGAAGTATTTTCACTCATTTGCTACTCGCTTTCATCCCATACCCCATTCTCGTCTAAAATTGGGATTAGACGATGTCCGGTGCGGGATTATCGATACAGTAGAAAATAGTAGAGGCTAGTCGTGTCCGCACCATGTCCGGACCCATACCTCGTGTGTTCACCTGTTCTATATTCTACTGTATCGATCATTCCGCACCGTACATCGTCTATTCCCACCTTAATTTGAAATTTGTTTTACCTAAGGCTTATTTTCCTGATCTTTCAGTATTCACCAGTGTGTCTTACCGACATCTCGGTTCATTTCGGTTGAAATCGTTCAAGAGGTTGTTGAGATAATAAAGATTGGCTACTTTAGGTGTTTGGATTATCTTGCTTAATTTTTTTGACAACTGTGGCCAGAGGCAAATAGTGTGTGAGTTACCGAGCATTTCTTTCTCAGGCGACACAACGTACATGTGTTATTGGCATTTTAAGATGACGGAAGCAATTTTGGAGGATAAATATGTTGAATTTGTTAAGATAACCCCTACCTCTATCCGATCGCAAAAATCTATTCTAAAAGTTGCTGCAACCTTGTTTAAACTGCTAAGACCCCGATAGATCACGCTGCACAGGTTTACATGATGCATACCACTATCAAGGTAGGTACATTGTCTGTAGCGTATTATTGTACATAAAGGTGGTCACTAAGGAGCCTCCCGAACTTCAACTGTCCTTCCTTGTAGTAGTCCGTCATTTTGATTAGTCATATTATACGGCTGATCTGTGACTAGCGCGGAGCGAAAGGCGTGTCATGTGCGGGGCACTTTATGCATATCAAATTATATTTATGAACAAATCAGGAACATGGGTATTAGATTTACAGATATACAGCAACCTTTTTAATAGTTATTAGGGATTTATATAAAATAAATGTTACACTTTCCCTTGCAAAAGTTCGCTATCGTAGTTGTGATAAAAGTCGTGGTTGTGATAATAGTTTACTATATTCATGGACAAAACAGGGCACTGCTAGTTACAGTGAGTTAATTAAAATTGGCAATGGATATGAGTCCTCTCGTCTATACCGCGTCCTCCAAGTTGGTTACATTTGGTGACATAAGACGGGTATGGTCCATTTCTACGGACATCTACTGCCCTACCAAGATAATGTTTGGAATTACAACCGTGACAGGCACCAGCAATGGAGGTTATCTAAAAGAAAAGGAAAAAACAGTATAAATCAAAGCTGAATCAATCAATTACCCACTTTTTTAACGCCCAAATTGGGGCGTATATTGGCGTTACCCACGTCCGTCCGTCCATAATTGCTCGTAAACAGTCTATACGGCACAATTCTTGACGGATTTAGGTGAGTATTTGTAATCACACAAGAAATCAGAAAATAAATTGAGTACGAGTTATTGCCCTTGTTCTTCGTTCAATTTTTAGCTCGTAAACACTGTAGAAGGCCCAATTCTTGACTGATTTTGACGAAACTTGGTGTGATTGTTTGTAATCACACAGGAATGAACCCTATTGAAAATCAGAATCAAAAAAATATTTAGTGTGAGTTATTGCCCTTGTACTTGCAAACGCGTTCAATTTTTAGGATGAACCCTATCGAAAATAAAAAAACGACTAGAGCCACGCGTGGCACAGAGTGTGACTTTGCAAATGTAGCAAATTGCAAAAGACTCTGAAAAAAACAACCTTCAACGATAATTACATCACGTGCAAAAACAGTCTAAAGTTTGGAAGTTTTTTAATTTTTTGGAAGATTGTTATATCGGAAGTAGACAGACCTCACAAATGAAAGTATTAGAAGGTAGCCAAGGTCAATGACCTTTGACATTGAAAAGGAAACGGGCAACAAAAGTCAAGGTTACGAGATACAAGTCATCAAAATTTTAAAAATATATACGGCTATAAAATCGGAAGTTGAGATATTTATATATAAATAGATAAACAAAGTTGAGATATTTATATATAAATAGATAAACAATGTGAATGACCTTCGATCCTACAAAAGAAAAAAAAAACCTCAAGGTCAAAAATTGAAAATATTGAATTATAAACTATAAAGCTGAAACAATCAAACTTCTAAGACAAAGTGTCTCAAAAGATGAAGTAATTGTATGCAAAGTTCCATTTTGAACAAATGTATTATTTTGTGAGTTATGCCCCTGACCAAAAAATGTCAATAATGAGTAATTTAACCCGGATGGGCCACGCCCACCTCATTTATTTGACACAGGTAAATTGATATTCAAAATGTTATGTTGTGTTCTAAATTTAAAGCTTCAACATCAAACAGGTCAAAAGGTATAGGTCAACAAAAGTCAACAAAGGTCAAAATCGAAAATTGAAAATATGGAAATTTTAAAACCCGTTCCTTTTTGGAACTATAAAGCTGAAGCAACTGAGCTGTTAACACAAACTGGCATAAATAATGATGTAATTTTGAGAAAAGTTCCTTTTTGAACAAATGTATCCTATGCGAGTTATGCCTCTTCCCAAAATGTAAACAATTAGTAGTTCAACCCAGATGTGTCACGCCCACCTCAAATTTGTTGTCGTAGGTGAATTCAAATTCAAATTGTCTAGTTGTGTTCCAAATTTCAAGATTCTACATCAAATAGGTCATAAGGTATATAAATATCAAGCCCAAAGAGACAGAAATATTGTAAAAAAAAAACTCAAATTTGAAAAATGACGAATTTAAATTTTGCTTTTAAAAAACGATTGTTATATATCACTGGAAAAAACATGAAAAGCAAATTAAGAATCCGAAAGAAATAACCCTCTAGTTAAATTAGGTCACGTACTTGACCAGTCCAAAGTTGCGAGTTTGGCTGTTTTCGGACCATACATGTCGGAGGTAAATGTCAAAGTATTAACTGATAGCCAAGGTCAATGACCTTTGACCGAATAAAGGTCAAGGTCATCAAAGGTCAATGTCACGAGATATGACCCTTCAAACTTTGACAAAATTCAACCGGAAGTTGCAAAAAAGAAAATTCAAGAATCGAATAACGGCTTCCTAATGTCATTTTTTTTATCTTCTTTCATTTGACACCAAAATCATTCAAATTGGATAAGACGTTATGTCTGAACAAAAAATCGAATCATTTCAGAAAAATCAAAATGGCGGCTAATGTTTCACGTCTGGTCCGGATTTTTTTTCTTCGTTTTTTTTTTGTCTCAGCATAAATTTGTTTGACCTATACAAACAAATTACACCGGAAGTTAATCAACCGGAAGTAAAAATCGATTTCCTGTTTAAACAGGAAGTGCAGTTGAAAATTTAATTGTACCATTTTGTTTACTTTCTTGAACTGTCTTTGCTCGATGTTTTTTCAGATAAATCAGACAAAAAGCCAAAAAAATGAAAAAAAAATGAAAGAAAAATTAAAAATTTGGCAAAAAAAGTGCTTTTCTTTCAGATTTTGCAAGTAGAAAAATAAAAAACCCAAAGAAAATCGACTTAAAAATACGACTTCTAGAGCCGATTATCTATTCTTGTACATATTGAACTGTGACACTTCCTGTTTGGCAAAAAAGTTCCAAAATATATTTATGCACATCGTCGCCTATATCTAAGGTTCGTGAATGTTGAATGGTTGCTGCAACTACTGTAGACTAAGCTCAGGAAGGTGTGAAAAAATAGAATTGACACAGTTCCAAAATATATTTATGCAAATAATATTTTTTAATAAAAGTTATTGCCCTTGTTCTTGTAAGCCCTCCAGAAGGTCTTTGACGGATTTTGAACGGAACTTGGTGAAATTTTTTGAAAATAAAAATCCTGAAAACTATTTTATGAGTTATTGACCTCGTTCTTGAAAATGCTTTCTATTTGTTGCTCGTTAACTCTAAAAGGTCAGATCTGTCTTTTACAACTTTTTGGTTTTCTCTGCAATAGTCATCCCGCTATACAAAAGTGTGTTCAAAAACTCAAAATAATGACGATCATTGTGTCTCAATATCATTGTACTAGTTCCTTAGTTTAACAGTCAAAATTAGATTGGGTCATGAACAAATAGCAACTTACCGTAACAGAATGTAATTCAGAAATAGCTTCAATATATGATAATACTCTATTATCAATACAAACTGAACCGCCTGGAGCAGACCCTGAGCTACATTCTCCACAACTATAACTAAATTAAAACAACATTTTAACTTTAAAAAGCTGTAACCCGAAGGTTAAGATTAAAACATTGGTATACAAATATGGTATACAAATATTGCATGCTCTATGTTGTTAGGAGCAATATTACTAATATATGTCTCAAATTTTCAAAAACTATGAACAATTACTGTGAATAAACCATGTCATTGTAAATAATACCATTAGTAGTTTTGTTTTTAATTCTTAACAGGGATTTCATGAAAGTACTGTCAGATAATTCAGGGATTTCATGAAAGTACTGTCAGATAATTCAGGGATTTCATGAAAGTACTGTCAGATAATTCAGGATTTCATAAAGTACTGTCAGATAATTCAGGATTTCATGAAAGTACTGTCAGATAATTCAGGAGATAATTCAGGGATTTCATGATAAAACTGTCAGATAATTCAAGGATTTCATGAAAGTACAGTGGTGTAACCTATTTTCGTGAATATAAGGATTCAAGACCGAATTTCGTCAAAGTTAAAGAAACGAAAAAAAAATTGTATGTCTTAGATGTTTCCTCAGATATTCTACAAAATAATTAAAATTGGTTTGTTTCAATTTTCTTTATGAATCCTTCACTTTGACCCATATTTCATGAGCAACCAACTCGGCAACGGCGGCAGAATGCGTCACCTATTTTCGTGTACAATGTTTGATCTATAAATAAGTCGAGAAAAACACGTTGTATGGATACCGGGTGGTATAATTAACTTCTCTTAGTATTTATCTTTAATATCAATTCATTATAACTAGTGACAATTCCTTCAAAGAACCACGAATTAAAAAAAAAATAGCGACTGACAAAATAAGATACGTAGCGTGATTTATTGCTAAAAGTCACTGAAACAACATAAGAATATGGCCCACTTTGTGTTTCATAGAAATTTTCTGCTGACGCGGAATCGGCTAGTTGATCACATGACTTCATTCGTTGGAATTTATTCTAGCAGACGACAGTTGGATTTCCGATTACCGCTTGGGATTATAGGGAAATTCGGCCGATAAAAAATGGTGACGTTTGGTAATAACTGAAATACGCCATTTTGTATTTGTCAAAGTATACATTAATACATTTTACCTTGCTTGAAACTACTGGATTCATTCTACTAGCTGATATTGTAGAGAAAACCCATGTTTATCAAAACAAACTAATGCGGAGGTCGCTCATGCAAATTATTAATCCTTTCCGGAAATCCACGAATAATAGGTTTCCACGAAATTAGGTTACTTGACTGTACTGTCAGATAATTCAGGGATTTCATGATAGAACTGTCAGATAATTCAAGGATTTCATGAAAGTACTGACAGATAATTCAAGGATTTCATGAAAGTACTGTCAGATAATTCAGGGATTTCATGAAAGTACTGTCAGATTAATCAGGATTTCATGAAAGTACTGTCAGATAATTCAGGATTTCATGAAATAACTGTCAGATAATTCAGAGATTTCATGAAAGAAATGTCAGATAATTCAGGATTTCATGAAAGTACTGTGAGATAATTCAGGATTTCATGAAAGTATTGTCAGATAATTAGATAATTCAGGGATTCATGAAAGTACTGCCATATAGTTCAGGGATTTCATGAAAGTACTGTCAGCTAATTCAAGGATTTCATGAAAGCACTGTCATATAATTCAAGGATCTCCTGAAAGTACTGTCAGATAATTCAAGGATTTTCTGAAAGTACTCTCAGATAATTTAGGATTTCATGAAAGTACTGTCAGATAATTCAAGGATTTCCTGAAAGTGCTGTCAGATAATTCAATGATTTCATGAAAGTACTGTCAGATAGTTCAGGGATTTCATGAAAGTACTCCTAGATAATTCAGGGATTTCATGAAAGTACTCTCGGATAATTCAGGGATTTCATGAAAGTACTCTCAGATAATTCAAAGATTTCATGAAAGTACTACTTGTAATCCCCTATGTGATTGAAAATATGCTCAATGAGATCAACATTTTTACCATGACAAAATATTGTCTAATTTGGTGAAAGAGTCTAATATGTGTAATAATGGGGTAACTATTATGGTCATAGCTTTCAGATGAGAGTAATCCTAGAATGTAAATTGTATGTAGACAGGTCTAACTCCTGTTTTAAAATGGGGGAGTGATACAATATATTCTTTACCTTGGCCTCTAAGATAAATTAACCTAACTTATTTTATGTGCAAGGATTTTTTTATCTTGTGATTCTAACAGTTTGCTCAAAATTTACCTTGATCTTTTCGCTTCTCGTCCATTACAAGCATCTCGGATGTTGAGTAACGGAAAAGCCCCATCATTTACCCCAGAAGGATGTCGATTCCGAAGAAATATATCACCGCTGTTATGAAGCGCCAAAATTCTACAAGCTGCTGCACTCTCGGAACATGATCCTAAAAGATAAAGATACTAATATGTTTATACCACAGTATAGTTGATTTGTTCATATCTAAATAAGTATCGGATTTAACCGACAGTTAAGATTTGGATTTGATAGTAGTTCAAACATTGGTAAAAAAATCCGAACAATAAACAAAAACTTTAGATATACGTGATGATAAAATCTACCATTAGTTAACATAAAAATAATCATAATATAATATTGAATGTGTAAGTAAAGCATTCCCCATGGCTCAATATGTGATTCTCGTTTAGCATTTAGTTTTCATTTTTAATCTGTCTTGGCTTGGCTTTTCTTTAGAGTCTTAGAACTACGTGAAAAACTGGACACATAATGGCTGCCATTCAATGCCGTGATATGTTGCAAATATCAACTGTTCAAACACTCTTAATAAATAATGTTACATCATTTTTCTGTAAAGAATATTTTATACTTGAAGGACATGTGCAAAGTCAACTATGTAAGTTTCATCACAATATACCGAGTCTATATGCTGACATACGTGGCAATTGTTGGTACATGCTTGTAATCTTGAAATGTACATTAATTACAAGGATAACAAGAAATAAAGTGCACTTGTCCATCAAGAAGAGGAATGAAAATGAATATCTACATTTATAAAAAGCCGATTAAGTAATAAACATGAAAACATAGTAGTTTTGAAGGCCTTGACATAACTTTTTACCTTGGTTATTACAATTTAATTTTAAAAGCTAAATATATTTATTTTTTTACCGTTATAATTAAAATTTGTCCACCAGACTTACCACTAGAGTTTGAAAGACAACACCTCCTGCTGTAACTTCCTCTGCACAAATTTCGACGATAACTACCACTACAGTATCTTGCAAACGTATATTGACAGTTTCCTCCTAAAGCCAAACATCTCCAATCACCTTAAAAAACATTGTCCTTATGTAAAATGTTTGAAATTGCCTAAAGAGAGAAGCCGAAAGAACTTTTGTCACTTTTGACTCATAAGAACATACACAATTTTATACGCCAACATCAAATGTGGAGCATATATTGTCGTCACCCCATGTTCGTCCGCTAGTCCGTCCACAATTGCTCGTAAACACTCGAGAAGGCACAATTCTTGCCGAACTTTTTAGTGTTAATTATCACGTAAGGATGAACCCTATAGAAAATCAGAAAATCGAAAAATATTTAATGAGTTATTGCCCTTGTTCTTTAAAATGCGTTCAATTCTAGCTCATAAACATTCTAGAAGGCACAATTCTTGCATGATTTCAACAAATCGTGGTAATATTGTTCATAATCACCCACCAAATTAAAGGAAGCGTATGACTAAAGGTCCAATGTGTACTGCACAATGTTATTATTTAAAATCAAAGCTGCCAATGGTAGAACGTAGCAAGCTATCTTTAAATTTTGATATGAGAATGACATAATTGTATTCACATGCAACGCAAATAAATTTTAAAAAAAGCCATAATTGTAAGTAATTATGAAACAACAATATTTTCGAAAACATACCTGCAACAACGCTGACGAAACCCAGAAAAGCTATTACAGTTAAACCTTTCATTTTGCAATGTCGTTGCTTTAATATGCAGAGCAGCTAATGAAAATTTGGTGCATTAATGCAACTTATCAATTGATAATGCATCCTTGTTAAATTAGGCCAATTATGAAACTTAAGCACTATTTCCTGCAAGTTCCGGAGAAAACGGAAAAAAACATGAGTTAGTGTCGTAATATGTTATTGGCATGTTTCCGGAGTTGGTGGTTTGTTCCTCTCTTGTACCATGCTGACATAACTTGCAAGTGTTTTTAGTTAAAATATCGCCTCACGAGATATATCGAAGCTTGATCCTTTTTTTTTTTGGATATATGTTGCAGACGTTAATATATATCGGTTGGCGCTAAAAACGATAACACTTTTCAATTCAAGTTTCAATTATAAAGTGGTCGTATATTGTCGTCGCCCCTGTCCGTCTGTCGGTCCACAATTGACTTGTAAACGCAATAGAGACAATAGTTTTATCTGATTTTAATGAAATTTGGTGTGATCATTTATATTATTGAGATCTTGGGCGAGTTCTAATTTGACGATCTTTCGATGAACGGTTTTTGCGTTATTGCCCTTGACTTCTGAAAAACGCATCAAAATTTGTTTGTGAACACAATAGAGACGACAGTATTCATCCGATTTAAATGAAATTTGGTGTGAATATTTATAATGTTGAGATCTTGGATAAGATCGAATTTGGCTATCTTTCAATGAACTGTTTTTGAGTTATTGCCCTTGAATTAGGAAAAAACGCGTCAAAATTTGTTTATGAACACAATAGACACTACAGTTTTCAACCGATTTAAATGAAATTTATCATTTCATGATGGGTTCTTAGTGGAGATTGAAATTGACGATTTTACGATCAACAGAATTTGAGTTATTGCCCTTGACTTAGTAAAAACGCATCAACATTTGTTGGCTTTTTAACGCGATAGAGGTGATAGTTTATGTCAGAATTTTATTAAATCAACTGTATCTTGCACAAATTAGATTTTTGATATGATTTGGCACAGATTGGTGACCGCCCTTGATAATATGTATCAGGAAAGTGGACGTATCTTGCTAGGCAACCACTTGTTAAATAAAGTATCAAAGCTATGACCTCTTGTCTATAGATTTATACCACAACTTTTCACACTGTAGTTTAAATCACTTCGAAATGGCGGAATGTTTAAAATTCCTTGTAAAAAAATTTCGACCTGCAAAAAAGCAGAATGCCGTTTTAACAATAAAAATCTAGACCTCGCTCAAATTTTCGAATGTGCATATGTTTGATGTTAATAGCAATTCCAAGCTTTATCCCCTATATGGAGACACCAGCATCGTTTTATTAGCCTCATTGGTAGAAACCAGCAGTAACGACAATACCACTTTCGGTTATTTAACAAGAAAATTGAACAGGACCTAGTTTGGTATTCTTCACCACTTCTGTTTACTCGGTCGTAATTGATTAAATATATTACGTTAAAGATCACATCCAAAACGGATTCCAGATGAATCAAGATGAATGAATGTGCATTTTTAGGAAGAAGATGCTTAAATTTCACTTCAACTTAGACTTTTCACTCCCTAAATTAGCCATTGACTAATAACCTGCTGGTTGACAAGATCCTCCAGATTATCCCAAAGTAAAGCGACTCCCTTCTCGTGCTTAGATAGACGTAAGGGAAAGGGAATACCAATATTTAACGAGGCAGATATCCTGTATGATGGTGTTGTCAACTCTAACTATCCCGTAATAGGTGTAAAAGATTGGACTAATATCGTCTACCGGACATTTTTTTCATTATAAATGAAGTCATGTTTTTTTCAGTCGAACATACAATGATGAGAGGAAAAGTTGAGCATAAAATTTCATTTATTTTCATTTCTCATAATACATGAAATAAACAAGAAAGCAAACACAAATTTCTTGACCAGGATAGCAACCTTTAATTGACAAGAATCCTTTCCACCAGCAGGTCTTTAGCCAAACCTCATGGCATTGGTCATTACAAATTTACAACTAGGATGACTGGAATAATGACATATGCAATTTTTACATTGTACATATCTGCACCTTTTATTATAAACATTTACAGTGGATGGGTACTATATTTACATTATATGTAATCTAATGTTATATCAATTAATGTATTACACATGAACTACCGTACATTAATGTGTTTAATTTACTGAAAGAACACTATTGTAGTGTCCAATATGTCTCCTAAGGCTTGAAACAAATATCTCATGTTTTTGAATATTAATTTCTGACACTTAAATACATAAATGGAATTGAAAAAAAAATATTACGTTGATGTCATTGTTATTTCATTACCATTGTAAATTCGTGTTAAAGATAACAATGTTAATTGTTATTCTATGTATACATAGGAGGTAAAGATAAAAATATTATTTGTAATACAAGGTGTAAATAGGTGTTAAAGAGAATACCTACTAATAATTTGTGAGGCCTTCGATTTAAAATAAATAAAGCCAAATATTTATATTTTTATAATAATTTTGTAGCGCACTGGTGTTGACATTTCCTTCTGTAATATACAGACGTGAATATACATGTTTTCAACGTATGATGCTATCAAATATTCATTAAAATATCCCAGTTACTTACTCCAAAGATTGATCATGAATTTATTTGAAGGTCTTGCGTCTTTTGACACTATTGTTTGTGTAGGTCTGTGTATACTGTTGATTTATAAAATGCCGTATGATTATTAAATTAATCTACTAACTAGATCGCAGTTGACATTGTAATGACAGTTACTATATAACGCTTACAGGTGCGGCCGCGGTCAGTCGAAAAATCCAAAGTTCTTACTCGTCATAGGTCGAGAAAATATCTGTATTCACTGGGCTCCCCCTCACAGAAACGCAGGTCAAAGGACAAGAAAAAGCGTATAGTGGGATGGGACAATAAACAGAAAAATAAAATAGGCTAATGGCGCCGTCCTAGCAAAATTTCACTCCTTTCGCACTGCATGCCGTTGTCCGTATTCAGCAGCCCGTTAAACCTACTCTCAGCGCAATAAAAAAAAAAGAGTAAACAATAGATGAGGGGTGGTGGTGGTGGCAAAGCCGGGCCAAAAATTTAGACAGCTTTATAAAGTACCAAATTAGCAAACTTGTACTTTTTCAATTAGTTCAAATTACTTACGTTGTCAGGCTTATTGCTTGCTTGAAAGGGCACCCTGTATTAGAGCATTCATCAGGAGCTGCTGGACCAGGCCATGGCTCAACAACAGTATAGTAAATACACTAGCCTCCTGGATACACAACTCAGCAGACACTACAGGCAGAGGGGTCACAGGAGATGGTGGCCTGCTGGTTATCCCATGGCTGTTCGCACAAAGTCACTCAGGTTCAGGAAGTCTGTGGTCTTGTCAGCAGCAGCAGCATTAGAACCTTGGCAGTTGGAGCTGGTAGATGCCCTTGCTTGGAGGGTACTGGTTACAGTTGCCCCCCTTGTCCAGGATATTGGTGGAGATCACTGGTGGTTGTGATGATGGTTGTGGGTACTGGGCAGATAGCCCCAGACACTGGTGGGATGTTGACCTGGCATCTGCGTTCCACAGTTTCAATGTGGTCTTTATGAAGGAGAACCTCTCCCACACCCAATTAGCAGACAGGTCCTCGAGTATCTCAGTACCACCACCCGACTTCACCGCAGTCCTCTTGATGCGGGTCATCTTGGTACGGTTGCACTTGTAAAAGATTTTGAGGTCTGTCACCTCAACATCCATGTCAGCAGCTTTGTCCTCCCATAGCTTCTCTTTCTTCTGCGAGTCTTTATAATCTGTCAGTCTCTTTGCTTAGATAGAGGGATTGTCTTTTAGCCGGTCAATGACCTCTTCTTTTTGCACATCTGTCAATGTTGTATAGTAGTAGGGTTTGTTCTTACGCTTTTTGTGGGCTGCTGCTGTGATGTCTGGGTGATCACCCCCTGCAGGGTGAGACTGTGGCTGCTCTGGCTCTGAAACCAGCATGGCTTCATCTTCTGACGGCGATGGTGTTGGAGACCTCGACCTTTCAGCCACCTGGCCTCTGCCTGTCCCTCTCTGACTCATCTTTGCTGCACCTCTACCTCTATCTCTCTTGGTTCCCATCTTTGTGTAGTTTTTCAGGTTCAGGATACTTTTTCTGAAACAATGCAATGAGTACCTACGGACTTCGTAGTCACGTATGAGTGGTACTCAAGTCGCAGCGCTGGAGACAGAGCTTGGAGGAGAGCGTGAGGATGCTTGCCAGGCGTATCAAAACCTAACAAAGCGTGTCAATCCTTGATCAAAGCGTCTCAATTCGTGGGAAAGCGTAACAAGGCGTGTCAGATCTTCATGCCAGATTGTAGCAAATCTTGAGACATCATAACAAAGCGCGTCTAGTGCTGACAGACAATGAAGACTGGGGTCCCCGCTTTGAATAAAGCTCTGTTAAGCTTTCCTACGCTTTGAGTCACGCTTTGCTGAACTTTGTTACGCTTTGTTAGGGTTTGATACGCTCTCGGCGCTTTAATCAATTCGTGACAGAGCGCCCAAAATTTTTAAACAGTTTAAAATTTTTTGGCGTTCTTGCCGAATGTCCCGCTTTGCTCAAAGCTTTCCAACGATCTATTACGACCCTGATACTTTAGTCGAGCTTTGTTACGCTTTGGTACCGCTTTGCACGCCGCTTTAAAGCGCCATCAAAGCGCCGTTGGTGTGAACTGAGCAGTACAGATTCATATCTTCACTGTAAATGCCACATATGTTTTTTTCTAAATGAGAAGTTTCATTGTAAAAAAAAAGTACTATAAATACAATATGTCTACTGAAATATCAGTATTTAAAAAAAATACTATACAGAAAAGATGAATACCAAATCAGTAGCGCTCTTGGCATATTTTTCCTTTTTGTGTGGATCTGTCTCTGGTAGGTATCATTTTCTTAACCTAGATATATTCAATACATTACTTATTATATCGGGAAGTCTTTTAATAGAACTTTGGCTATCTGAGTGAAGCTGGCTGAGGTCGGCTTTCATTGAATTTAGTCGTCATGGCAATCAAACAAATTTTCTACCAAAGCTCCGCACCAAACATTTTGTTTGTGAACGAATCAAAGAGTGTCATGTTAAACCCAATTCTTGATTCCTTCTTTGAGTTTCGCTATCCCACGTCCTTATTTCATTAAGAAACCTTTTTTACATGACACACATTGTTAAGTGAAAAAAAAAAACGTCATTGGGATTGGAGTTTGGTAGAAAACTATTTAATTACAAAGTAGACTTATCGGGATTGTAAAGAGGTTTTCTAAAACTAATTATATGTACACTCTTAGCATAAATTTGCACCATTCCAATTTTCAATCAGACCAGCAATTCCACTAAAACTAAGTGTTTGATATCGCGAAATTTTAAAAGATTATTAAAACCTCTTTACATTCCCTTTAAAATATCAGCAAACTAAAAAGATACAAAATTTTAATCAAATTTAAATAAGATTGGCTTGCACCGAATTTAATCTAATAAAATGTGAACTAGTCGTGAAAGCAGTTTGATTTTCTCAAAAAAAAAAGCATATCATGTATAGACTTTCTAATTGATATGACTATTTCATACATATTAATTTTATTGTTTTGTACAGTGAAGTGAAGTACCTAACCAACTGCCAGACCTGTTCTCAAATCTCAATCAATTTGTCTCCATTGTGATCTTAAATTTCTGCTAAGGGCATTTTTAACCATACAATGCGTGGGACCCAAAGTTGAGCAAAATTACAGCTTGTTTATTTTCGTTATCTCACGATTCGCATTTTCGTTAGAACGATACAGTGAAAGAAAAAATATTTTATTGATTGAATATGAAAAGTATCAGAAAAGAAAAGACACGCAATTGTAATCTAATTTTAAGTATAATGGTCAGCTCTTGACATGACTTTTCTCGAACTGACCAGCGCCCTTATGATGACCATTTGATTCATATTTTCAGGTGATTTAGGATGTACATCTATTGGTGGAACATGTCAATATACCAGTACATCATGCAGTGGAAACTATCAAAGTAATTTGTGCAATGGTCCATCAACCAGAAAATGTTGTGTACCCAATACTGGTAAAGTTTAATTATAATTAAGACCATATTCTATCAGAAATTTAAAACATTCTGTTGTTGCTGACTTGCATGCATTAGAAGCAATTTTCTTTTCTGACGTAGACCTCATTCTTTAATTCTAATTACTCCAAGTATGTTGTGCTTAATATGTCCATACACCTTCAACCGTCCCAAATGAAAATAATGCTGTTTGTTCTAATTCATTTGTTGGTGATCTTTGCCAACTAAATTCATTTTTATTACATTCCTGTTGACAAACACTTTCATTCGCATATTTTCTCTACCCATTTGTGATGAAAACAGAGCAGCAGGCTGTTTTACTTCACCGAACAGTAGACCAGCCAATGCAATTGTGTTAACCATCTGATTCATAATATTTTTTTTAGGCGATGTAGGATGTACATCTATTAGTGGAACATGTCAATATACCAGCACATCATGCAGTGGAAACTATCAAAGTAACTTGTGCAGTGGTCCGTCAACCAGAAAATGTTGTGTAACCGGTAAGATGAATTATTCTCGTGATTTGTAGGGATCGTTCTTAAAAAAAAAATGTTGTAGTCTGAGAATATATTCATGGAGAACTAATGTTCTTTGCAGAAATATGATAGTGTCATTGAAAAAGTTTTTAAAAATAAATCTGGACAGTTGATCGCATTTTAATCAAAAGATCTACCTTGAAAGATCTTCTAGTGCTATGTATCATGGTATTTAATGACAGTCATTATTTTCCGGTACCATGTACAGATTGTCACGTGATCACGTATTTCAAACAACATCTGCTGGTTGTCCAAGACTACGAGCGTTTCTAATCAAAACCAAATAAAAACAAAAAACTTTGTTGATAGGGTTTAAGTGATAGTGCAATTCGTTGAATTTAGTAAGTAGTAAGAATATGTCAGAATTTAACCCCAAAAGGACTCTTCACCGACATATTCAATGCTATTTCTAAGGGTTTTTTTATGCCAAAATCACTTGATGTGACAATTTTGACGTATATTGGAAGACTGGTTAAACTTCTAGAAATATCATTGAAATACACCTTAAAACAATCCAAAACTCAATTCGGCAATTCAAACATCTGCATCAACTAATCTCTGGTATTAACATAATAGTATCTTTATCTTCCAGGATCATGTTCCGGCAGTGCATCAGCTTGTAGAATTTTGGCACTCCATAACAGCGGTGAAATCACTCTTCAGAATCGACATCCTTCTGGGGTAAATGATGGGGCTTTTCCATTACTCAACATCCAGGATGCTTGTAATGGACAACAATCGGAAAGATCAAGGTAAATTTTCATAAACCATTAGATTCACAAGATTCAAAAACTTTGCTGCAGAAAAAAGATTTTTTGTGTTTTAATGACAATTGTTTTTTAGCACGTCCATTAGATTTCTTGCAGGCTTCTAACCTTAACTAGAACTGTGGTCTGCTTGTTTATTTGCAAGAGAGTTCTGGGAATTTTAGGTTGTAACATTGCGGTTTGGCAATGTTACGAAAGCACAGGCACAGGCATGTAGGCGTAACCTCTAGTGATAGAGCAATGTTTGTGAAGTTAGTTTAAAAGAATGATATAGAATAATTGAAATTCAAATCCATTATCTTCCGAATCTGAAATATATAAGAAGAATACTGGTTCCAACAGGAACATTAATAACCATGGAAATCATGATAAACATTTTCACTGGTGAAACTGAGGAATTGTCCTACATTAAATGAAAAGGAAAATGCGTATTTCATATAAAAAATATATATATAATTTATTAAGTATACATGTATGATATTTTTGCGAGGAAACTCTTCAATTGTAAGTTATCATAAATAAGAAATATTAATTGAAAGGAAATGTACTAAACCTATGGAAGGGGGATGGGGGGTAATCTACCACGGACTAAGATATCATTTAGAATTTTATTACGGGTATAGGCGGTAACTACATCATTTGTAATGACTGTTGGAAATTTTTCCTGCAATTCTTTGTAAAGACGGATAATTATTCGGGGAACTTGACCAGCTGTGTTGTTGTATTGAATAACAAAAGGTATAATTTGGATATCAACTTGGATGTTCATTCCTAAAGGATGCATGGTTTGTAATTTGTTTATCCAATAATTTTCGCGAATGAGTCGAATTTTCTTTGTATCAATGCCAGGTTGTTCGGTTACATTACAGAACCCGCACTATGATATGTTTAGGTTTGATTGGCTGGTTTTCCATTGAGACATTTGTCGACACCCAAAAATTGTTATTCCTAGGTCAACTTATCCATCTAAATCCCGTGTGGCGCGACTGTTGGAATATCGCCAGTTGGATTCGTTCCAGATGTCGTCAGAATACTTGTAAAATACAGACTTTCAGACCATCTACTGACATACTTTAAGAATTATATATTTCCCTCAAAATCTGTATGGAAGAAAATAGTGAGGCATCAAATAAAAGTCATTGAAACAGAACGTCGTATCCAGACTCTCAGCGATGACCCGGAATTGGAAATGTTGGTTTAAACAATATTTTATTTCTATATTAAATGAAATTTTTTTTACAGAAAATAAGTAAGATTTCGGAAACAAGCCGAAGCTTATGCTAATCCGGCACTTAATACAATGAAAGGACACAATACAGAAAATATGATATTCGTAAATAAATAAATTGTTATCAATATTTAATAATTTGATAATAGAAAACAATTAATTATATGTTTGAATATATAAATGAAAACGTTCGAAAATGCATTGGAAATGTTCAACCAAATGTGACACCTCATCCAGTCTTTCAAATTTGGCGCTCAGATCCTTCTCTTAGATGGAAATGCCAACTTTTTGTTAAATCTTGCTCCTTAGTAAGACCATGTGCCGAGAGAACCGTACTATGTGAAAAGTGTGGTCAGTTTTTTACATGGATTATTAGTCATGGTCTCCTTGTGTGCCACCTTTTTCATGACCAAAGAATTGAGTTCTGGGAATCTGTTACTTCATTTTTAGGTAAAGCCCAGTCTAAGGTTTTAAGAAATGCAAGCCATCTTGAACAATTAAAAGCTATCTTTAGTTTAATGCAGGCCTCCCCAAATCCTGTGTCATCTTGCATACTTGACGAATTTCAGCTCTGTATTCTCACGTTTGTTTACCGGGTTGCAAGTAAATTATGGCTGTCTCCAGTCTGCACCGATCGTTATTTCCTATAGGATAACTAGCATCCTACGCCAGTTGTTGATATTTTGTATTACCAAATTCTATTGTAAATAATCATTATAATTTATTTATGTACTTATATTATGAATCTTCAATTTGGAGGAAATAAAGATATATATAGATATATATATTTTTGTTACTATTGTCAGGACCCTCATTGTAATTGTATATATATAATCCGCAACGGCAGGCCCTTGGCTAGACTTGATTGTTTGGAGGGGCCTATAATATATCCGGAGGGGTGATGGTGTATGGTGTTTAATTGCAGTAATGGAATTTGTCTGTTGTCAGAATTCTTTCAAGCGGGTAATCTATTTCTTAAGGGTGGGGGAGCATTGTCCACCCTTACAACCTTTCCCCCACCCCCGCCTGTAGTTTCGAGCTACGGATCTGCGCCTCAGATTTAAAACGATTTATTGCTTTAAAGTCGAACAGAATTGAAACTTGTGAGTATAAACTGTAATCACCGACATGGTGCCTTTATTTATCAAATTTTACCAATGTTTTAACCTTAACCTTCGGGTTACAGCTTTTTAAAGTTAAAATGTTGTTTTAATTTAGTTATAGTTGTGGAGAATGTAGCTCAGGACCTGCTCCAGGCGGTTCAGTTTGTATTGATAATAGAGTATTATCATATATTGAAGCTATTGCAGAATTACATTCAGTTACGGTAAGCTATTTGTTCATTGTGATCCAATCTTATATTGGTTGAGAATTAACGGTATCAGTAAGAGATCAAAGAGGTAAAATAAGTGGGTAACTGATTGATTTAGTCTTTTTGTTTGATTTACTACAAATATACTTTAGTTAAACACAGATATTTTTCCACATCCGGGTTCCCTTCTGCTGCTCATTTTAAAGTTATTTAGATACTGTTCATTTCGTTGTGGCAGTAGCCATTAGATGACATTGATTTGAACAGCAAAAAAGAATTGAAATGGGTCTCTACTTTATACCTTCTCTTTTTCTTTCTTCATTTGGGACAATAAGCGAATAGGTATATTCGCTATTGGAATGCTTAAACATGTGAGTGAAGGAGTTTGGAAAAAGAACCGACATAGGATCAGAATTTCAGGAAGAATAATTCTCAATTTGTATTTCTGAATAATGTACTAAATTGCCTGCATTTCATAAAATTTGATAAGATAGATGTTTAGATTTAATTGAGGGATAAGTCCAAATTTGGACGGTCCATGAGGGTGCATAAAACGAATGAAGAAATCTCCGTATTCTTCATATACATCCTCAACTAGCCCAATCCATGCCACATTGTCATATCGACAACAAATATTGTTTTGGAGCTTGATCTCATTGAAGTTATCTGGTGTTTGAGTCCTTTCATTAGGAGCATCCATGACCTTGACAAGTTCTGGTGGGTCGCTCTGGAGGCTAAGCTTGTAGGCATACATCTTTGATTTGGTCACAGGGACCAAACGATGAAACTGCTGCGTGTTTTTATTGTTTTAGACTGTTGGAATCGTTTTGTTAATTCCGTCTCCTGCCTTGATATTTGTTCATTTAAGAATTGAATGCCAGGGATGCTGTGGGTGCAGAATTCCATTATTGCACAGCTAGTTAAGATTTGATTTGAATACGGACGCTGGAGACTTGCCTTCGTGAGCAACCGTTTAACTGTGCCCCCTATTCCGTCGAATGCATTGTTCCTATGGCTGATTGCAAAAAGGTTCCATTCAGCATCTAATTTAAAGTCTTCTTGATGATTACACAGGTTAATAAAATTATTTTTGTTCTTGTATTGGCCAGCACAGCCATCAGGTTGAGACAAGTTATCAACAAAGTCGACGTTTGACTCAGTTATGGTGATCAACTTTGTTCTGTCAGTAGTGACCCATTGGAGATAAGTAACTTCCTCAATTTGAAAAAGGTCATTACATTCGTTTAGATAATTCATCAACCCCTCTTTCACAGGGCATTCCTTGCAATGCCCCATCATGCACTTTTAACTGAACAGACGTACAGCTTCATCAGGTCATGAACTGATAACTCAAGGCATGCCTCTGCCATTAGTATGGGGTTCACATAGGCGTAAAATAAATGGACTGGTTGTGTTTTTTTTGAATGATCCGGGTGAGCAAAAATATCTGTGTTTATATTACTATCAGTATTTGAATGAGGAAAGCTGTATTTAAAACTGTTTTCTTTCTTAGATAACCTCCATTACTGGTGCCTGTCACAGTTGTACTTCCAAACATTATCTTGGTAGAGCTGTAGATATTCGTAGAAATGGACCGTACTCGTCTTATGTCACCAAATGCAACCAACTTGGAGGACGCGGTATAGACGAGGGAACTCATATTCACTGCCAATTTGGTTAATTCTCTGTAATTTACGATTAATGTAATTTCCGTAATACTTTTCAGATGAAAATCTGCAGATGGGTTGGTCTTTGGACAACCCAAACTATCCATTTGCGGATTCCATTTTGAAATTTGCAACGTTCCTTTCGTATAAATGCCTATAAAAAAATATCGTACCTCTTCAAATTTTTTTAAAAGTATACTACTAATTTTTAAAAAAATAAAATTTGATCTGTATTTAAAAACGCCTTTTAACAATATTATACAATTATAACCACAAACAAAATGTTCATCCTAAATAAAGTGCCTGCTCCACCCTAGGCCTGTACATTTGGGAGAATCAAACCCTCCAATCCCCGAAATCAAAATTGACAGAGATAGTGGTTAATTAAGAGATCACAGCAGTTTCAACGTATGGTTCCAGTGACAAAGTTAAGATTCAGGGTGCACGATTTAATCCACAAGCTAATCCTCCAGCGTGACACACCTGAACTTGTGACCTTCCTTGATTCTCCTACTGATACTCCTGCCTAAAAAAAACTTCACTGCAATCATGTCACAGAACTATGTTAAGTTGTCAGTATGAAATTAAGACATGAAGGGACTGGTTTGGGGGTGTATTCAAGGAATACGGTCATGTCCTTAGCTAAATCAATAAGTAGGCCTAAATAATTAACTAACCTCTCGCCTGTTGGTCGAGTTATTAGTTCATCTGCAGACCCATGGCTTTGTGTCATATAAAGGCTGTTTTACACAGAATTGTTTTTTCTTTCTATATTGGTATTGAAAGCTAATCTGAATATGACAGACATGATTTCTAATCGATTAGGGTCCATAATTAATTTTGATAAGAGTCCTACAAAAGGTTTCATTAGCTTATCTCATGAGCTAACCACAGAAAATGTCTGCCAGTAGTCATTCTTGATACTTGAGGCAATAACAAATGATTTATGAAAGGTTTCATTTGATTAGCTCTTAAGCTAACTTAGCTTATTTTTTTTTTGTAAAAAATATTTTATTCACAGATACATATGAACAGAATTGGAGAACAGGCTTACGCCTATATAACCCCTTTCCAAAAAAACAATGAAAGTTAATATATACATTAAATTAAAGTTATTATAAATTATAATACTAACGTATATACATTTACATATTGTACAACAATGATCAAGGAAATAGTAATATATAATAGTATTATTGAGAAGCCACACACGTTCTCTTTTGGGGGAAAATTAGAAGTGTGATGGACCACAGTTATTTGATACTCATAATTAGAGTTGTCTCTCTTTAAATAATTTGGCACTCTTTATATTTGAAGTTTTTGAAGTCAATTGTTTACAAAGATAATGTCGATTTTCCTATGGTTATTTTCTTAAGTTTGGCATACCCACAGTGTAAGTACATTGCTTAAATACCGGTATAGCTTTGTTTAATCTCATAATTTATTCATATTGTGTCAAGATTGAAGTGTATGTATAATTTAAGATTCTCACAATTTTTGATATTTTTTAATATAATTTTCTCCTTATAAAGCCACGTGACAGGCCTAGATGGCTATGCATATGAACGCAAATATCATTTATTGGTTATTCTAATATCTTATTTATGTAGTTTGTAGTAATTTTGTAAACTCTAAATGTAAGAGTAATTTTTCTGTATTTTCGTTACAGCTTTTTACCTCTCATTCACGACTCATGCAAATAAAGATCGTTACTGATTCCTGGTTTGTGTGGTGTTTGATTGGTTTAAGGCTATCTGCATACCTCGCAGAATAAGAAGCGTTTACTAAAAGAGAGAAATGATTGGACATGATCAAATATTTCTAAAGATTTAGTTTGAATATCTGATCCATATATTAGGTTGTTTAGGTTAATAAATTTTGGTTGAGGCAGAAGAATAGAGCGGCGGCGTGCATCAAAATATAAGGGGCATATTAGGAGATAGTGATGTGCATCTTCAAATTGATGTCCGCAAAAGCATACTGGGTTGTCGGAGATATGTCTGATGTACTTATGCCCGTTTAGATCACTATAAGAGAGGCGAAGACGGCTATGCAAGATTTGATTCGTTCGTTGGCCGATGTAGTAACAGATTGGCACTGTTTTGTCTTTAGATTTAAGTGAAGATTTAAATGCGGATATGTATGGAATAAATTTTTTGGGATAAAATAGTATTTATGTGTACGTCCCACTGACAATTTTTTTGAAATGTTAGGCCTAAATGCTAATGAAATCAAACTTCTTGAACTGGTGTATTATCTAAGTTCAAAGTTGGTAGTATAGGGTGCGAGTGTTTCTGTTGTTAAGGGATTGAAGGATATCAGCCATGGTTTTGCCCAGGTATTGATGGTGTTTAAATCATGGTTAAGTAGCTCTGTTTTTCCATTTATAGTCCAGTTTATATATGATATATGCAATATTTCAGCATTTTTCACAGAGCAACTGTCAAGCTTGTTTTACCTGTCAGCCATTTTTTTTTTAGAAAAACGCGTCAACATTTGTTTGTGAACACAATAGAGACTACACTTTTCAACTGATTTTAATGAAATTTGATGTGATCATTTATATTGATGAGATCTTGATCAAGTTCGAATTTGAAGATCTTTCGATGAACGGTTTTTTAGTTATTTCCTTTGACTTAGGAAGAACTCGTCAAAATTTGTTTGTGAACACAATAGAGAGTACACTTTTCATCCTATTTGAATAAAATTTACTATGATCATTTATAATGATGAGATCTTAGTCAGGATTAAATTTGACAATTTTTCGATCAACGAAATTTGAGTTATTGCCCATGACTTAGTAAAAACGCATCAAAATTTGTTAGCGATAGTGGTGACAGTTTATGTCAGAATTTTATTAAATAATGTGTGTTTGTTTAAAACAATATCTTGCACAAATTAGATTTATGGTATGATTTGACACAGATAGGTGACTGCCCTTGATATACTGAAAATATATCAGGGAAGTGGGCGTATCTTGCTAGACAACCACTTGTTTTCATATGAGAAGTTTCATTATAGACAAAGTACTATAAATACAAAGTGTCTACTTAAATATCAGAATCTAACAGCAATACAGAAAAGATGAATACCAAATCAGTAGCGCTCTTGGCATATTTGTCCTTTTTTGTGGATCTGTCTCTGGTAGGTATCATCTTCTAAACCTAGATATATTCAATACGTTACTTATCATTTTCTGGAAGTCTGTTAATAGAACTTTGGCTATCTGAGTGAAGCTGGCTGAGGTCGGCTTGCACTGAATCTAGTCTTCATGGCAATCAAACAAGTTTTCTACGAAATATGTTTTTTTTTGAACGAATCAAAGTGTGTCTTGTAAAACCCGATTCTTGATAAAATAAGAAATTGTGGGATATTGAAACCTTAAAGTAGAGGGAAATCCATTCTTTGGGTTCCGCTATCCCACGTCCTTTTTTTTTCATTATGATCTTAAGTTTTCTGCTAATGGTATTTTAAACCATACAAAGCGTAGGACCCAAAGTTGAGCAAAGTTACAGCTTCTTTAATTTCGTTATCTCACGATTCGCATAAATATTGTATTGATTGAATATGAAAAGTATCAGAAAAGAAAAGACACGCAATTGTAATCTAATTTTAAGTATAATGGTCAGCTCTTGACATGACTTTTCTCGAACTGACCAGCGCCCTTATGATGACCATTTGATTCATATTTTCAGGTGATTTAGGATGTACATCTATTGGTGGAACATGTCAATATACCAGTACATCATGCAGTGGAAACTATCGAAGTGATTTGTGCAGTGGTCCGTCAACCAGAAAATGTTGTGTACCCAATACTGGTAAAGTTTAATTATAATTAAGACCATATTATATCAGAATATTAAAACATTCTGTTGTTGCTGACTTGCCTGCATTAGAAGCAATTTCTATATTCAATATTTACATAATGATATACATAATACTGTAAAACAATATAAAGTCATGAAGTTTCAAGTTAAATTTTTTAACGAGTACAGTGAATCCTGCTCATGCGACCACCTTTACATAGATAAATATATTTGATTAAAAAACTATTTAAATGACATATTGAGATATATTTAAATTTTATATGAATGTATACATACATAATTTCTAATTGTTGTGTAAATATGCTTACATGTACTATGTACGTATCTAAACATTGTTAATTATGGGTTCTTGTATATATAGATTGTTCACCTACATGAAATTTTCTCTAGTTTTCCAGGCGTAAAAGATGTATCTGAATAGATTTTTTATTTTAATTGTCGATTTAGTTTTCATCAGTTTGTAAAATTTAGCATGTGAAGGCCAACTCTAGCGATAGCGAGGAAGAAATTGAAACCTTAATTTCCTATAAAGACAACACAAAATAAAATGAAATTCATTTTCAACTTGGTCAGTATTACAACAATTGCAAATTCTTTTTTCTTTGGGGATTATTATATATCGCTCAGTTTCTATACTTGATTTTAAAGAATCCCCTCTAAATTTGAATAAAACATTCCTGAATTTAAGATCTAAGTATGGTGCACGTGAGAATTCTTTAGTTGAAGTAAAAATGTAATTTATTGGAATTTTCAAGGTCCTGATACCATGATTGAATACATTTATTGATAAGTTTTTGTTTTATTAGTGAAAATGAAGATAAGTTTAAATTAATTTGATTTTTATTAATATTGGCAAGATCTAAATTCTCTAAGCAGACTTTTATATGGAATGCCCAATTCTCCACACCATTATTAACTTGTTTCATTAAATGTATCTAGATTTCATACACTAACCCAGTTTTATTTGAAACGATTCAGATCCAGTACTTAAAATTTCTATATAGGTGTACAATATGAAATGGATAGCGCCCAAGCTCACCTAATAGGAAAATTATTGGAGTGAAATTAGAAGCACTCAAAGTTCTGCGCTCAAATTTTAAAACCCCATACTTTGCAACCTTAGTTCAATACTGGTAAACAGTTTTATTAAAACATCAACAGAAAGGAATTTATTTCCCACTTTACAAAAGAGTGAGGCCAATGCCTTCAGAACTTGATCTGAAAGTCTACTTTGAGTTTCATGGAATTTTCGTTTCTGTACAACAAAATGCCCAGATATAAGTATTCGTTGACAATTTCTAGTTTGGCCGAGTTAATTTTGAATGTTGAATTAATTTTACTGTTGCCTTTGCGGAAAACAACTACCTTTGTCTTATCCACATTTATTTCCAAATTCCAAGTATTGTAGTATGACTGAAATTTGTTCAAAAGTTTCTGCAACATAGATTCTGATTTGGCAAATAAAACAGTGTCATCCGCATATAAAATGATATATAAAAAATAACTGTTGATTCTGACTATGTCAGATGAGAATCCAGAGTGCATAAAATCATTCATATCATACATGAATAACAAAGGTGACAAAGGTTCACCTTGCTTCACTCCAAGATAACTGTAAAAACAATCATTATAATCACCATTATGCCGGATGCATATTTTTACATCTTAATAAATTGATCGATTAATCAATAATATTTTGTATTAATTCCTATTTTGGTTAATTTGTAAAGAAGTCGCCTATCAATGTTGTGAAACACTTTTTTCAGGTCAATGAAGGCACAATATAACTTTCCGTTATCATTTAAGACAGAAGAGATTGTTCCTTGTAAGATAAAGGTGGCATCTACTGTCCTTTTACCTGTTTTGAATCCAAACTGAAATTCTGGAATCGTATTATTTTCTTCAACTCAGTTATATAATCTAGAGTGTATGATATTTGTGAATCATAACACCCACATTGTGTTCCATAGATTTTTTTCTGATGTCATGGAATCCGCTAGTTTGGTACGTGACTTTGTTCACTGGAAAATATCACAGCAGACGACACTTGTAATTCCGATTACAGCGCGGGATTATAACGAAATTGTGATATTTGATAATTGAATTCCGCCATTTTGTATATATTAGAAACAGGTAATAAATTTGACATTGCTTTGAAACAATAAGAACAATTCTGCAGGTTGACGTTGCAGAAGAAGCACATGTTTATTAAAACCTGCAAATGCATAAATCACGCATGTGAATTATTTATCATTACTGGAGATACGTGCAATTAGACGAAATTAAGTTCATTGACTGCATAAACACTTCACTGTTCACGGTACAGAACTATTTTTGCTAGCTCGAAGTCGACCATGACACGAAGAATTCAAAAGTGCCGATATTTTAGAATTTAAAATACCTAAGTTATCTTAATCAATGTCTTATATCCAAACATATGACGTTGATTTGAGATTGAGAGCTCAAGAAGTGAATTATCATCGTCGCAAAAAAAAAATGTGCCTGCAGACAATTTTGATACGGCAAAATGTGCCTGCGTGCGTGTGCGGTTTTGTTGAAGTCTGCCATAGTTATTGAAAAAGTTTTTAAAAGGAAATTTGGACAGTTGATTACATTTTTATCAAAAGATCTACCACGATCTTCTAGTGCTATGTAAGGGAATTAATGGCAGTCATTATTTTCCGGTACCACGTCCAGATTGGTACGGAAGCGTAATAGTGCCACACATATTTTTTTTTTTTCAAATCCGAATTAGTACTAACTCGAAAATCCGACTTACTAACTCGAAAATCTGACTTACTAACTCGAAAATGGGTCACACATATTTTTTTTCAAATCCGACTTAGTAACTCGAATATCCTACTCTGTAATTTTTGATGTTTTCTCTTGGTTTAACGAACAATGAAATATCATATTTCTTGGTTTAACGATCATGGAATTGTCATCAGCCAACGAACATTAAAAAGGATAACATTCCGATGTAATCTATTTAAAAGAAAATATTACTCAGATGTACGCAATCAGGAAATTTGTAATGGTTCTGGAGGTAACCATGGATATAAGTGGTTGTACAAAAAACTTCGCCTGGAAGGATTCAATACTACCCAAGAAACAGTTAGACTTTTATTTGGGTTAATTGATTCTGAAGCCCGGAAGAGAAAACGATTACACAGAAGACAATACCGATCTTTTGGACCTAACAGTGTATGGCACATTGATGGGAATGATAAATTAAAGCCATATGGTATTTGTATCCATGGCTCTATCGATGGATTTGCCAGAAAGATAATTTGGATGGAAGCATGTTTTTCAAATAACGATGCAAAACTTATCGGAGGATAATTCACGGAAGCAGTTATAAAATTAAGAGGCTGTCCTGAGAGGATTCGATCAGATGAGGGTACGGAAAACAAGGTTATTGAACAACCACAATATCTTTTTCGGAATGAACATGATGATGCTTTTTCCGGTCTTAGAAGTTACATTTATGGTGTTAGTTATGTAAATCAACAAAGTTGGTGGGGAATTCTCAGAAAAGAGTGCATTAACTACTGGATGGAGCTTTTTTAAAATCTAAAAGAAGATGGATATTTTTCAGGAAACTTCTTGAACAAAAATCTTATAATCTTTTGTTTTCAAGATGCTATTCGGGTAGGTGGCATATGTTCATTTCGAGAATTAAAGGGTAAGTGTCCTCTAATAATAGAAATAGCTGGTTTTGAGCTTTCCAGATCGCTAATCAGATATATCTTACGATGAGTAAGCCAGTAAAAAAGATATAAATTTGGTTCTGGATTTTCGAGATTAATTCACATATTTGTTCCTGACGTCACTTCATACGAACATCAGTTATTGAAGGGCAACTGGCCTATAATAAAGACCGTTTACATCAGAAAGAGCATGTTCTGAACTTTCCTTATCAGATAACCTTTGTAAGACATACATACTTATCAGATGTTTCTTACGATGACTGGTTATCCACTTACTGACGTCATTTCATACGGACTTTTTGTTTTGAAGTTAATTTATGAAAACACCGCTTATCGTAAAGAAAATCTGATTTGAGCTTTGGGAAGGACAGAAATAACCATTTCTTGCGTAAATGGTTACTATTAGTGGATACGTTCACTTTAATTATTTCTATTTATTTATTACTAGTCTTGTCTTTTTCCCAATAAAGGGTCGTTCATATTTTTTACTCATGACTGAGTTAAACATGTAGGGTTGTTGCTCGTATTGTTAGCCGACAACACTGCCTGTATGTGTAAGTGAAACGTTGAGTTAATAAATTAAGAAAAAATATATCCGTATAACTTCTGCTTCTTTAGTTGTTTCTCTTTTATTTTAGAAAGAACTTCAAGATGTTGTACAGGTCTGGAATAACCACAATATTCGCCCAACAAAAAAAACCATGTCGCCATCGGGTAAATTCAGTCGTTGTGTATTTTTTACCAACTTTATATGAAGTTGAAAATTATTTAAAACTTATCACAATGGAAGCTGTAGAATTATGTGAAAGTGAATGTACGTTTCGGAGAAATGGGTTTATATTTCCCCTCCTCAAATACTGATTTATGTGATATATATATATGTCCCTAAGACACGAAATCAGAAGCGAATTGTTTAATATCTAAATCATAAATCCCTATTGATTTCAATCTTTCATAAAACGGCATGAGCCAAATACTAAACGGAATGTCACAGAATTATCATATAAGAAATGGAAAGTATGTTAGTATATTTCAGGATTGGTTTATGTATTAAAATAGTTTTTACTGTATTTTTGGCTTCTTTTATTGTAAAGTCAAATCTCCAAATGGAGAAGTTCCAGCTTGAATCTAGATATACCAAACAATATTAGCCAATCTACAACATCTACTAATAATATACACCACTCTACACCATCTACTAATAATATACACCAATCTTCAACATCTACTAATAATATAGACCACTCTACAACATCGACCATTAATATACACCACTCTACACCATCTACTAATAACATACACCACGCTACACCATCTACCATTAATATACACCACTCTACACCATCTACTAATAATATACACCACTCTACACCATCTACTAATAATATACACCAATCTTCAACATCTACTAATAATATACACCACTCTACAACATCGACCATTAATATACACCACTCTACACCATCTACTAATAACATACACCACGCTACACCATCTACTAATAATATACACCAATCTACAACATCTACTAATAACATACACCACGCTACACCATCTACTAATAATATACACCAATCTACAACATCTACTAATAATATACACCACTCTACACCATCTACTAATAACATACACCACGCTACACCATCTACTAATAATATACACCAATCTACAACATCTACTAATAACATACACCACGCTACACCATCTACTAATAATATACACCAATCTACAGCAAAAGACATGCTGCTACAAGAAATACCAAAACATCTACGATATGACATACACATAGTTAAACAAAATAAACATTTAAATTAAGTATACAAATATAAATAATATAGATTTGAAATATAAATAATATATAATATAAATACATATTTGGATCATAGATATAATAATAGTTAGATTAATGGCGGGAATCGAAAATGTTGGACAATATATAAATATTTTCGATTTGAAATATAAAGAATACATATTTGAATTATAAAGATGTAAATAATATAAATGTCATTGGGCAATTGTGAAATATATTATAATAGTTAGATTGATGGCGGGGATCGAAAATGTTGTACAATAATATTAATAAAGTTACATAATTTGTTAAGTTGGCTGTACTGTTTGGATTTCGGGGAAGGGAGGGTTTGATTCTCCCAAATGTACAGGCCTAGGGTGGAGCAGACTCTTTATTTAGAAATTAGGATTAAGGGTCTTGATATTGGGTTTTCTTCTGTTCTTATTCTGATCTGAAATTAGAAAGGATGAAAACAGTCAAATGACGCCATGAAACTATGTCACAATAAAAATTGTACATCACTCGAAATACATTAATAAGTGTATAATAATGCGAACTGTAAGCTATGAAAATCGGTATCCTTCAACTCGGGTATTACTTCATCATTCCCTTTCGGGCACAAGAGCACATTTTTCCACGCTACGGATAATCCGAGGAAATATCAATGCCAAGAGGTAGAAACTTACTTTCTTTCTTTACTGATGTTAATATTGTTCTACTTACATAAACTCGCCCGAACTTTGTTAAATTACTTATATTGCAGAACTTTTGATGTTAAACATACATAGCCACCAGGAGCACCTTTATAGCATTCACTGCACACATAGCTGTAAAAAAAGAGAAATGTTACCGTTCACTCATTCGTGATGTCCACAATTGTAAACATCCCAGAAGGCACAATTCTCAACAGATTTTGACGAAACTTGGTGTGAAAAAACAAATTACCATGAGTTATTGCCCTTGTTCTTGAAAACGCGTTCAATTTTTAGCTCGTAAACTTTCCAGAAGAGAGTTAGTAATCACCCAAGGATGAACCCTATTGAAAATAATTAGTATGAGTTATTGTCGTGTGTTTGTAAATGCGTTCAAGTTTTAACCTGTAAACACTCTAGAAGACCTAATTCTTGACAGATTTTGATGAAACTTGGTAATATTATTCAGTATCGCCTCAAAAAGTTCAAAAGTAGTGTATGACTGAAGGTTGAATATTTCATACTGGTAATTGTTACTGTACAAATTTTAAAGTAAAATCAAAGCTGCCAGTGGGCGTACCTTGCCTGGCAAGCTATCGAGATGGCGTCTAACAGAAATAATTAAAAGCAAACGTAAAAAAATGGATATGATATATGATAATGCCAGAAATATTGATTGTTTTATTTTTTGGTTGATACAATCAGTTATGCACCTGTAATAGCAGCTAAGTAAAATATCATCTTAGTATGAAAAAGGTTTGTGGCCTTGGTGCATGGCTTTCTAAGGTAACACAGATTTTGTGTCATATGTAAGTTTTTCCTTTTATATTTTTCTTATATTATTGTTAGTTTTCGGGGAAGGGAGGGTTTGATTCTCCCAGATGTACAGGCCTAGGGTGGAGCAGAAAAAATAACTCGCCCGATGGGAAGTATAGAGAAGTATAGTATCTGTTATGTGCTGATTGTTTTTAGTTTACTATGAACAATATTATCATTTAAGTTCTTATTTTTTGAATATGCAACTATCATTTTCTGCTTATAGACATGGGGGAATTTCTCTTGAAGGCTCTTATAGTGGGCATGAACTATCTTGCTTGCTCGATTGCTGGTTGTATTAAACGGGACAACAAAGGGTGCTATGCCTACATTATGATGAATATTTAGTCCTATAGGTCTTGCTGTATTCAATGTCTCAATCCAATGGGCTTCCCTAGATTGACGGAATTTGGTAGTATCATCTTCGGGCAAGTCAATTTCTATACGCTCAATTGGGATTAGGGCGAGATCGTCTATTGAATGGTCGTCGAGGTTGAAATGATTAGAAACAGGCTTGTCTTTCTTTAATTTGATGTCTGACCTATGAGCATTAAAGCGAGTTCGTAAATTATTCTTAGTTTCTCCTACATATTGTTTGGGGCATTTCTTGCATGAAATTAAATATATTACATTCGAATGTTCACATGTTAGATGTTCCTGGATCGGGTACCTTTTATTCGTAGAGTTGCTTACAAAATAATGAGTTTCTGATATAAAGGGACATGTTTTGCATCTACTGGACAAACATGGAGCACTTCTTAAACCTGGAGGTACTTCGGCATAAAGTCTGTTTTTAGCTGCTATTTGTGCTAAGGTGGATTTTTTAATGTTTCGTAAAAATCGTTTAGAGTACCCACGCTCTTTCAGTTTTGAGAAAACAATCGTACAGGCTTGGTTGAAATCAGAAGATCTTGTACAAATTCGATGAAATCGTAAAACTTGTGATTTAATTATACCAGAAAAGGTATGTTTTGGGTGAAAGGAGCTCTTGTGCAAGAGTTGATGAGTATCAGTTTCTTTGAAATACACTTTAATATCCAGTTTATTTGTTTCTGCTATGGAATCTCCCTTAAAGACTGTGGTATCGAGAAAGTCTATGCTTTTGTCAATTACGTTTGCGGTTAGTTTGATAGAAGGATGGTGGTTGTTGAGAATTTCAAAGAATTCCCAAAACTGTTTGATAGAATAAGTCCAAACCATAAAAATGTCATCCAAAAAGCGTCCGTAAAAAAGTGGGTCAAATGGACAGAGGGGCAACACCTCACGTTCCCACTCTGCCATGAAAAGGTTTGCGTACGAAGGGGCGAATCGTTTGCCCATTGCTGTCCCTGAAGTTTGTAAATATGTTTTACCATTAAATGTGAAATCGTTTCGACTAAGACAAATCTCTAAAAGCTGTAGAATTGCATCGTCGGGTCTGTTTGGATCTGGGTTTCTATTAAAAGCTTTACGAACTGCCGTTAAACCAGTAGTGTTATCGATATTGGTATACATAGAAGAAACGTCGATAGAAATTAAAATAGCATTAGAGGGAACTCGAAGATTTTTTATTTTATTGACAATATCGGTTGTGTCTTTAAGGTAGGTGCGATGTTGACATGCTAGAGGTAGTAAGAAATGATCAATGTATTCTGACACTGCATATGATTCACTACCACAGTCAGATATAATCGGGCGGCCTTTAGGGATTTTATTCGAGATAAACCACTCCTTGGATGGATTCTTATGGATTTTAGGCAAAGTGTATAAATGTCTCTCGCGACAATCAGGTTTGGCAGACAGATAGTCATATTGTTTCTGTTTGAGATAACTAGTTTTGACTAAATCGGCAAGAATATTGTTAATCATGTTAGCAGTTTCTTTGAAAATTGGTTGCGGTAAAATGGCATAATGTTTAGGATTATTCAGTTGATTCTCTGCTTCTGAAACGTAATCCTCCCTATTCAGAATGACACAACATGAACCTTTGTCACTCTTTTTAATAACAATGTTATCGTCTTTCTTAAGTAAGTTTAACGCCTCACGTTCCACTCGTGTGAGATTAGGCTTTTCGTGTGTTATGGAAAGGTTTACAGTTTGGCTATTCGCAAATGCTTTCAATATTTCAGGATGGATGGCGGCCTGAGGGGGTGTCCACGTGGATTTAGGAATAAACATTGTTCTAGCACCACGTGGGGGGTGGTTTCGGAAAAAATATGTGCAGCCAATGGATGGTCGGAGATAATTCAAGTTAGCTATCTTTGGTGTGGAATAAATTTAAGTCCACGGTCTAAGATTGAATGCTGAAAGGGTGTGAGAATTTTGTGGCTCAAGTTAACTACAGTTTGGCCTAGCGGTGGCCTCTCAGTATTTTTATCCCCAGTAATTAGTTTAAAGACTTACTCGATGCTTGAAGCTAGTGTATCCAAAACAAATAAATGCTGTTTGCTGTTTCTGGAGACCAATGAAGATTATCAACTGGTTCGAATTCTTCTTCGTAGGGTGGTAAGATTGTTGCGCTGTTGATACTGGACTCCATCATCATGTTGTTGAGAGTGCTGAGGTTCTGTTGTGCTTTCTTCGAGATTTTATTTGAAATGGGTATACATGTGAAGAGGATCTTAGAGTTCGGGAAGGATTTGTTGGCTGTGGCGATTAATTTCTGGGCTTGGTTAAAGGATGTCTTTGGTAGTTGATCACGATTGTTGAGGCCTACATGAAGAATAGTGGTAGTAGGTTTGAGATCATGGTCGTATGATTCCAGGATTGACTGTATGTGATGGATTTGGGCACCGGGGTAAGAATGTATTTCAGTGTCTGAACTGGTTTTGGTAATTCGACTCAGGTTAGATGATCCAATAATTAAGGTAGATTTCTTTAGAGCGGGTAGCTTCCATAATGATTTGTCCTTGGTTTGGTGATAATACGGTTTGGTAGCGGATATAATGGTCGTCGACGGTAAGATTGGTACTGGTTTGGTAATTGTTAGAATTGTAGCATTGGGAACGGACTGGGATCTGGTTCGAGGGGGGGGGGGGGAGGTCTGGATACACGTCTCGACTTGGATGGGGACTGAGGGGTGGTTTGCTGGTCCAAAAACGCACAAAAGGAAGAAAGGTTGGCGGATCCTGGATCACGTGGTGAAGATTCAGATGGTGTGGAAGGGGAAGACAAGTCTGAAAGTGAAAAGAGAAGGGGAGTGCCCTCTCTACGAGAGCTGGACTAGGAGTACGTGAACTTCGGGCTCGTTTAGGGGTTTGGTTCGACAGCGTCGTGGCTCTAGATGGTGCAGGTGTAGTGTCCATTTCAGTTGGTAGAGATATTGTTACTCTGGTTTTTGTTTCGTTGATTGTTTGGTAGAACTTGGTGGTTACAGCTTTGAATTCGTTAACTATTTCCAATTCCAGGTTAGCATATTGAAAGTTTATATTTTTTGATAATCTCCCTTTACCAAACACGAGTATTTTAGTTTTTTCGGTATTAACATTTAAACGCCATTGATTAC